AAAAAGAAAATTAATAATAAAAAATCGCTGAATCAAAGTTCGTGCACAAATCATACCAAACCAAATCACAAACTAATGGATTAATCGGTTCCGTTTACGGTTTCACAGAAAAATAATAAATCATAAAGCAAAAAAAGAAAAGCAAAAGGCTGATAGGAAGGGGAGGGGAGGGCCAAGACAGGAGGGTTACACACCAGGGGAGGAGAAAGACTTCAAGAAGGGGAAGACTTAATATATATATGGTCCGATTCAATTTGAGGTTTGATATTTTTAATGCAAACTGAAATAAAAATGCATTATCGACCGAACCGAACTACAAAACCAATAAAATCGATTTTTCGATTTAATGTTTTAGTTTTGTGGGTTTGGTGGTGCACCCTTAACTGAAATGACAATTTCCTTGACACAGCGAAGAACTTGAGATTTGTTTGAGTTTTTCACTCCACTGAAGACTATGTTTGGAAGGCCCATGTGGGCCTTCAGGTTTTATTTAATTAAAATTGTGCATTCGTTGGTCAATATACATGCACGACAAAGACGAAAGAGAGAAATAAAAAGAAAAAGAGAAAAGAAAGGGAATTAATACATAAGCTTTCAGCACTTTTGGAGGTTGACATGTGGTTTGATGGAGTTGAAATTTTGATAGCATGTTCAGGACATGAGGGTATTTAATTTAGACCATAGAGATATCTTTTGGAGCTGCCTATAGTCAAATTATAGTAGGTAGTTGGATGCCACTTTTTAGTATCTTCTAATCTTTTTGTGTTGGAAAAGAGTATATTGCAACACAGAGACGTCAACAGTTTATACAGATAAGAATGAAATATTTCATTCTAGAACTAAACATATAGATGTGAAGTATCCCTAGATAAAAAATGTTCTCAATAATGGAGTATTTGAACTTTAGAAGATACATACGAATCGTAATGCATCGGATATGCTGAAAAGAATCTACCAAGATGAAAGCTTGAGTTTTGTCGTTTCGTTACTAAAACGAGAGGGGTTTAAAGTTTCGTTCAAAAGGCAATTCGAAATCGAATTTCAAAAAGAAAAAATAATTAAAAAAATCATCGAATCGAAGTTCGTGCACAAACCACACCGAACCAAACTTCAAACTGACAGATTAATTAGTTCCATTTGCAGTTCACGGAAAAATAAATAAAAAATAAAAGAAAAAAAAATGAAAAGCAAAAGGTTGATAGGGAAGGGGCCAAGACGAGAGGATAACACTCCAGAGGGAACAAACTTGAGGGAGGGGAAGACTTAATATATATACCGTTCGGTTCGGTTTGGGGTTCGATTTTTTAGTCCAAACCAAAATTGAACTGCATTATTCAAATTGCTACTTATAATGGACTGAATTGAACCACAAAATCGATAAAATTGGTTTTTCGATTCGATGTTTTGGTTTTTTCGGTTTGGTTGTGCCTTCCTAGTTGGAAAGATAAGTTCCTTCACACAATGAAAAGATAGAGCTTTGTCGGGTTTTTTACTTATGTGAAGCCTATGTTTGAAGGGTCTTCGGGTTTTGTTTAATTAAAATTGTGCAGTAGCCGATCAATATGCACTCGCATGAGAAAGATGAAAGAGAGAGAGAAATAGGAAGGAAAAGATCAAAGAAAGGGAATTTGGACAAAAGCGTTTTTTGAAGGGTCTTCAATCTGGATAGTAGAGATTCTTTTGGGAGCGGCCTATAGTCATATTAGAGTGGTTAGCTAGGTTCTAGTTGTTAGTGAGATCTTTCTAATCTTTCTTTGTCATATTTACCAAGATTTATTATCTCGAGATTCTATTATGGTATGCCTCTGATTGTGACTAGAAAGAACTTGTAGTTCATTATTAATTATAGTTGAAATTTTGATTTCATTCCATGTTTTCTTACTCCTCGCCTCAGGAAGGTTTTACATGTTAAAATTGTTTGCATCTTATTTCAATTATTTCTACTTATTTCCTATTAGATTGACAAAGAGAGGATAACTGATCTTTAGAATAAAGTGTTTAGCCCAACATGCTCTTGGAAAAAACGATTGTTCCTAGGGTTGCTATTAGGGTTCTAGAGGTAAGTATTTATCCGATCGATAGATTAGGGTATAAAGACATATAGGATATGATCTATAAGAGTAGGGCGTTGTTTCCACGAGTTCATGCGTCTCTCCGTGATGAGTTTCAACTCCTTTTCAATAATGCATGAACGAGGTAGGTGTCGTAAGTGAGTCGTTCCTTACCATCGTGTATTCAATACATGGCAACGACGACCCTCTCTCAAATATTTCTTGGAAAAAAGAATTTTAAAGTAATCCAAAATTTTCAAAATGTTTTTTTAACACTTTTATTTATTTAAAAAACACTTAGGAAACTATACTAAATACACTCTAAATTAGTAATATTCTCATCTTAAAAAGTGGTTTTATTTATTAAAATAAAAGTAAATTTAGTCATCCCAAACACCCTTATTTAGTGATTCCTAAGTAAATTTGCTGTATTTAAAACTTTTAAAATCTAGAGATGCATACGAATAGAGTTTTTAAAACTATGTCGAATAAAAGAGTTTCGTATACAACTATTTAATAGCTCTCCAATATATCTAAAGTTCGATTTTATATAAAAATGAAACTAATTAACAAGGTTTTAAAAAAAAAACATTAATGCTAGTTTTTAAAATCCAAGTAAATTTTTTAAAGAAATGGGGTATTAAAAAATCAGTTTTCCTTTTTCTTGATCAACGTTTTAAAATATTCTATAATATAGTAAATTATTCAACAAAGAAATTGTTTTTAAATAGCTTAAATCTCTCACAGATAGTAAATGAAGAATAAAAATGCTACCAAACCAACAAAACTCTAATAACTAGTTTATCTTTAAAAAGAAATTGTAATAATTCTCTTTGTTTGGAGTTTGTTTTAGTAATCCTCTTGACCTTCAGTGTTTCCTTTTAATTCTATTTTGTTTCTTTTAGAAGTTTATTTTCTCAAAAAAAAAAAAAAAATCTTATAATATTTTGTTCTTACTTCTTAGTGCTACTTCCTAATTCTAATGGTAGTTTTTGTTCTGTACAAAGGTTTCTTTTAAGAAAAAGAAGAAGCAATAACAAAATAATAAGTAATAGAAACAAAGCACATAAAATGAGAGAATTTGTACCAATATTTTAAAATAAAGAAAATAGAGAGCATAGTGATCATAAAATAAATCACATATAATAAAATAAACTAAAGTGTGTACCTACGAAGTATTTAAATAAATATATCGAAAATGAAGATTATCTTCGTGTATAATAAACTTAGAAGTAAGCATATACAAAACGAGACGATATTTTTCGTACAATAAAGAGATCAAGAGATGATAACTGACATGAACGATAATGAGTTGTTAAACCCATTTCATTTTAGAAAATAAAAACCCTATTGTATTATGGCAGTAACAATAATTAAGTTAATTTTTTAATCTATTTATAATTTTGTTTTAGCCTTTATCTAAGTTAAAAAAAAAAAAAAAAGATAATAATGAGAGTCTATAGTGGTTGTTTGTTATGTACATAGTCCAAGAAGGAAAGACAACTAAGAGGCATGGAAATGATTCCAATGATTCAATATCAAATATGCTTAATTCTAGTAAACTACTTCAAAAACTAATTCTAATAATGTAATTTGTTCTTATTTGTTGGCACAGTTTCAATCTTTAATCTCATTCTACCTATTTGTTGAAGTTTTTTTTTAGTATTTGATATATTAATGGTGAAAAACTAGGAGATGGGGTACCCTACAAGGTCGAAGGGTTACGAAAAACACTCCCAATTAGTCATAATATGAATAGGATCCTAATTACAATAGGAACTAGCAAGAAGAACACCAGATGGATGAAAATAGTTGAACCGAATCCAAGCTTCCTCGAAACTAGGGTAGTTCTCTACGAGGACCCTCTGATTTCCCTTGAACCTAATTCTAAAAAATGTGACTATGATAGCGTCGAACCAAAGAATTCTAGCGCGATCTTTGAAAGGGAACTTTACCCTATATATTTCATGTTTCATTTGGTAAGTATAGTGAGGATTTGAACTTTACCCTTCTACTTCATTAATATTTAAGAGCTATTAAAAAAACCCATCTTGCAAAATGCCACTTAATGAGGCCTAAAAATCAAAGCAAAATTTAACTAAAGTTTATCAATAATGTTCTAATTAAGGCTTCTACTTGAAAATCTTCATTGGGCAATCAACATTAAAACCTATATTTTATTAAAGCCTTTATTTCAACAAAAAAAAAATCTTTAAATAATCAAAATAAAAAGCTCCTTTTGATAGACTCCTTTGTAACTTGACTGGACTAGACCCTTTTTTTTTTCCTGTTCATTTACTGTACTTTCATACCTAAACCTTAAAGGAATCCATGAAAATGAAAAAATGCAAATGAAAATGAATGCAAATTTTGCATATATAATATGATATAAACATACATATACATAAAGAAAAGTACACTAACAAGCAAATTCCAAGAGAACCCAAATGTTAATCCAAATTTAGCACAAAACCCATCTCCCCAAACTTGAAAACTCCCCAAGTCTTATCCAAAACTTTCATGAATTGCACCTCAAATTTTCCCATCTCCAAGTCTACCAACAATATAAACATACTCTATATTTTATGAAGCATCAGAAGATAAAGCATTTTGGTGAAGAAAAACTAATGTTTTTGCTTTTGGAGATTTCATCCAAAAGAAAGAAAAAAAATCCCAAAACATGTCCTTAAAATCCCAACAATGTCCTACAATTTTAGATTTGGCCCTCATCTCCATAAGTCACACCCCCCTATGATGTTTATGATTAACTTTTGACTAGGATTTTTGTACTTGGCCTTCTTCCTTAGCTTTGAAAATGCATTTTTTCCTCATCCTAAGTTTCTCTCTCCTCTAGAAAAAAAATGGTTGATTTGATGCAGAAACAAGTAGAGAACTAATTAGCTTTCTATTTTTGCTATGGAAATTTTAGAGTTTAGAGAGAGAAAAAACCTTGAGCTTGCATAATCAAAGAGCTTTCCTGAAGCAGAGAAAACAAAAAGGCCAATCTCAGCATCACAGAGAATTGCAAGTTCTTTGGCCTTCTTGAAGAGCCCCTTTCTCCTCTTGGAAAATGCCACTTGCCTTGCAGCTATGTTGTCTATCTTCTTGATCTGAATTTTCTTCCTCGTCATTTTCTTCTTCTTCAGCTGAGAGAAAAAAAAAATCAAAAATTTACCATTTGGGAGCAAAGGAAAATTTGATCTTTTTGGAGAGGAATCAAACCCAATTCTCAGAGTTCATACAGATCGAAAGAGGAGCAAAAACCCACAAAAGCAAATCAAACACATACATTAAAGGAAGGCAATATCAGTTCCTCGAAAAACAAAAACCATCCACTAATAGCAACTTCAAAGGAAGAAAAAAAAAGTGGGGTTTTTCAGATTTTTCCTTTTTAGAGAGAGATGATGATGATTATGATGATGAGAGAGAAATCCAGCCACAACCCACCTCAGATTTGATGCCAAAATTGGTTCTTGCAGAGATTGAGAGAAAAAAAAAACAAAAAACAAGACAAGAAACATTAAAAAAAAAAACAAAGCTTAGAACATTACTACCTTGGAGAGAAGAAGGAGCTGTTTCCTCAGCTGGATTGATCTCTTTGTTCTTCTGTTCTTCCTTTTTTTTTTCTTTTTTAACTCAGGAAATGGAAATGGGTAGCTTTTGGGGTTATTACTGACACGGCTTCAAAGCTTGCAGACAAGATACCATTATTTGGAAACCCTCCAATGGCTTGAAGAGAGAGAAAGAGAGAGAGAGAAAAAAAAAAGAAAAAGAAAAAGGAAGAGAGAAAGAAAGAAAGGTGGCTGTGAGTTAAAGATATTTAATGTTCTTTTTTTTTTCTTTTCTTTCTTTTTGTGGCTAATGAATTCCCTCCAAAAACTCTTCCTTTCACTCGTTTTAGGTTTCGTTTTCTGTGCTTTTTGCCATTTTTGTTTCTCCTTTCTTATTTGAATAGTCAACTGTTTTATTTAAAGCATGCTTAATTTGTGTCCCTTTTTCTTTGTTTTTTTTTCAAACTTTTGTTTTGAAAATTCAAAGAGTCTCTCATGTTTTTGAGAGATTTGGCATGTAGGAGCAAACCGGCTTATCCTTTTGGTTGGCGAGTGTGTCCAACAAAATAGAGGTGAGCATTTCGATACTTAAGTTAATAATAGAGTTCGAAGGTAAATAATGTAACTACAAGGGAGAGACACTTTGTTTTTCTATAAACAGTTGTAGATGAATCAATTTGGTAATGGAGAAAGAGATCCTAGTCTCCGATCAAGGAATGAGTTGCCCTGGCAATGGTGGTGAGCACTCGGTCAATCCCATCGTTTTTGCACGCTGATGGAGGAAACAACCTAGCGAGGGCGGGCCTATTTGCTCTTCTTTTGCATACCTGGTGATGTCAGCTCTACTCATTCTTAGTTATCCAAGACGTGGCAGGCTTGTTTTCCTCCTGGACTTTAGATTTTGCCTCTAATGTTTTAAAAGTTATCGATTATATAATCCATCTTATTTTGTTGTAAAAATGTTGATGGGTTGTTAATTATGATGCTACTAGACCTGCGAAACTCAATTCACCCATCATCAAAATTTTACTGCCCATTAACAAATTCACTTCTTCCAAGTAACATGCTACTAGACCCTAGAAAATATGCGAGGAGCATCTTTTAAAGGTAGCTTTACAGCTTGTCGTAAACGGTTAAAAAATTAGTTGGAATGTTAGTTTTAAGAACTAATCCTATTACACCGCCTAGTTACAAAACTCGATCATAAGGCAGTACAAAATAGGATTTCACCGTAGAGTTAATAAAATCATCCCACGGTAATTTAAAAAGATTTAACATAAAGGCTATTGAAGTTACATTACATATTGCTCATGTTACTCAAATATGTTATAAACAATAATTATATTTTTTAACCCAGGAATGTTATTGAAAATCTTTTAATACATTAAAGGTAATATTGTAAATTTCAAAAGATGAATGACCTAAATTACACTAAAATATTAGAGAGATCATCTTGTACATTTAATTAGAGAAATGAATCATAACTTATAAGTTAAAATACTAGTTTGATTCATGTACCTTCAGTTTTTGTTCATTTTGGTCCCTATACTTTCGAAATGTTCGTCTTGGTCCTTGTGCTTTCAATGTTGGTTCATTTTAGTCTCTATACTTTCAAAAGGTTCATTTTGATCCATGTCCTTTTAAAAAGTGACTATTTTGGTCCCTTTAAAATGATCACTTTTTTAAAGTACAGGGATCAAAATTAACAATATCAAAATACATGGACTAAAATGAAACAAAGTTTAAAGTATAGGGACTAAAACGAACATTTTCAAAGTACGGGAACTAAAATGAACCAAGGCAGGGACTAAAATAGTATTTTAACCTAACTTATAATTAATACTCTTGATAATATTTTGACGTGTCACGATATGGTTGGTCAGTTTTTCAATACTCAATTAGTAGAATTTTGCACGTGATGATCTCAATATATCTCTCCCTAAATTGGAAGTTAATGACACAAACAGTTAACTATACCTAGATAGGTTAATGCATTTATGAACAATATTTCAATGGATATATAAAAAAATATTTCTTTCTCTAATGCAATAGTAAATTATAAACTCTTGTATTGTAAGGTCATAAATAATGGGGTCTCATAAAAGATTACTTGCATTGGTTAATTATACCGTGCATGATCAGTATAATTTAAAAATCGTTATTTTAAAAAATGCCAACAACTTGACCTAATCCAGCCATGTATTTAAAGCTTCAAAGAAAAAGCAAACATTTAATTCTTGTAGTTTTTTTTTTGTTGGTCCTCTGACATAATAAAGATGATGTCACAACTTATTGCGATGATGATCCAATAGTAAGAAATTGACATGGTAAAGATGAGGTCACAACTTATTCCGAAGAAATTTTACTGTTATTTATATCGGTCACAACTTAATATAAATAGTATAAATCCAACGTGAGCATAGTTCAACAGTAAAAACATATTAATTATTTCTAATTTAAGTGAAAAGTTCAAATCTCGAGGCTCATACTAAAAAATCAGGAGATCACAATCTATTGGGGTGATTTATGGGTAGAAAAATAATAAAAAATCTCTTACATGTTGGTTCTTAATTAAATGTGGGGCACGAGATCTAGGGTGTCTATTATAAAATCTTCATTGTATTTCTCTCTACTTTATAGTGGAATCTCTAGATAGATAGATAGAAAAAATTATATAGAAAAAAAAAACTATTTGTTCTTTTAAGCAATCTAATTTTTTTTAACTCAGATTTGTAGAAAATACTCGTGCGGTTTGGAGATACATGTCAATAACATGTGGGGACGATGAAGTATATGTCAATTATCGCTGAGCTATGCTCACTTTTGCTCCTTGTTTCTTATTTTTTATTAACACATTATTTCAACAGGAAAAATTTGTGTTTGTTTTATGTTTCTTATTTTTACTTTTTCTTGAAGTTCATAAATTGCTATTTTCAATTTCATTTTTTTTCCTCGTACATTTCATATTCAAATAGTCAAAAACTATGAATAGAAAATAATTACAAAATATATATATAACAGAACAAAAAATGAGAATAATGTTCCCTTGGGGGTTACTTAATAATATATTGTTGTTTCTCACTTCTTTGTTTTGTTTCCAAAGTCTTTGAGAGAAAAATAAATAAGGAAACAGTCACTAAATGTATTTTCGTTTTATTTTAATTAAAATGAAAGAGCAAAGAACAAAAACAATTACTATATGTACTTTATTTTTCTTTCTTCAAGAATAGAAAAATAGAAAATGCGAAATGAAAAATAATAGACATTTTTTTTAATTTAGCCTATATTTTTAAAAAGTTTCAAATTAATTTAGTTGTACTTAAAAAAAAGTTTCAATTTAATTTTTTACATTTTGAATACCTTTTTAGTAAATGTTAAAATCAGTTGATTTTGATAAGCCTACATGATCTTGATGAGTTCGCCTAAGCGAGCTTGTTAGTAACGTTTTCATTTTTCATTTATTTCTGTTTCTCATTTTCAATTTTTGAAAAAAGTAATCATTTTTTAACCGTTCATGCCTCTCATTTCTCTCTTTAAAAAAACGTTTCTAAAATTGTGTTGAAATTTTGGAAACGACAGAATCAAAGTTTTTTAATTTTTTTTCCAAATTTTTCCATAATATATATAAAAGCATTATTTTACCAATTTTTTAAGTATAAAATAAATATAACATAAAATTTTTTAATAATTAATTTGAAATTTAATTTTTTCTTAAAAACTTTTATTTTTTTTTAAATTTAAAGGTTTAGAGAACCAGAAATTGTATGTTTCTTTTTTAATTAAAAAATAAACAAAGAAAACAAAAAATATTACCAAACCCAATTCTAATACAACAAGAGATATAAAACCAAAAAAAATAAGATATAAGGAAACAACCTTAAAAAATTAATTAAAACTCTAAAAATCATTCTCCAAAATTCTAAGAAGCTATAGAAATGTTGATTTGTCTCATTTTATTTTAAAAATATTAAAAATATTTATTCACAATTGATTTTGAAAAAGTTATCAAAATGTGTGTTTGGAATGGATGAGAAAATGGAGTGATTTAGAAAAAATAGATTTAAATATAATTTATTTTTCAAAATTATCCTTTATTTAAATGATACTTAAAAATAGATTTCAAATTTTACTAAAATTAATTTTTTAATTAATCAAAAAACGAAGAGAGAACTGATTTTAAAATTTTAAAACCACAGTACAATTGAGTATCACTTTGCTTTGATTATAACCAATGCAGAACAGTTTCTGTGAAAATAATTTTACAAAACACGAGTGAAATTAGTGCTCAAGTACAAACTCCAAGAAAAAAAAAAAAAGTTATCCTCTGCTTTGCCAGAACTCTGACATCCCACAGAGATTCTTTAATTGTATAATTACTTTTATTGGGGAATTGTTTTCGAAACTTCCTAAATATTAAACTATTTTCCAAAACACTTTCTAATTTATTTTTCTTACAAAATAAATTGGATGACTTGAAATTTAATTTCCCACAAAATTAATAGAAAAAGTAACCATATCTTTTTGTTATTATTCCAATAGTTTAGTGAAAATACATTTAAACCATTTTTCATATTTTTTTGTTAGGGATAGATGATCTATATTCTCAAAATAACGATTTAATGTTTTTATTAGTAAATAGTATAATTGAGTACATAATAACTCCCATCTTTATATTTATAAAATAATATGTTACTGTTCTTAAAATAATTTTGAAAAAAAGTAAATATATTTTTAAAAATAATTTAAACCATCCTTAAAAATGATATACTTGATAAAAAAAATTTTACTCGACTATGGGTCAATTATCGGTCCCCTATTATAATGTTTTTATTAATTGGTCTACTTTTTTCTTTTTAACTATTTCGTCATTTCATTTTCGTCCTTTCGTCATTTTCTATCATGTCTTTCACGCTTCATTCCTCTTCACCATTTCTCTTTTGAATTGTGCAACGTAGTTTGCTTTTGCACCACAAAAATGGAAGGTTTTTCTTTTATTTATTTCGTTCCTTTTTCTAAAGTTAGGAAGGGGAATGATTAAATCATTCTTTTAAATTAGTTTTCTTTGTTGTTATTATTGGCACTTTGTTATAATAATTATTATTATTTTGCTTAAAAAGGGAGAAATCAAATCATTTTATTTCCAAATTTATGTTATTAACTGAAATTAGTGTTTCAAATTTTATTTGAAACACTAATTTAAATTTTATT